CCTCAGGATGGAAAATGCTGTCCACATCCAAAGAAAGAACTATGGAAGTCAAATTGCTATCACTTATTTTTACCTTCTGTTGAGTTTTGTTTCATCTTTCTGATGGTTCCTCCTATTGGTTTTAATTTTTACTACAACTTCACTAATGTGAAAATATGTTTAATAGCAATGTAAAGCCTATATCAGATTGTGCACCATCTTTGGGAGGGTAGTGGGGAGGAAGGGGGAGAAAAATTTTCAATTCAAAAGCATATGGAAGTGATTGTTGATAAATCAAAATAAATTAATAAAATTTTTAAAAATTTAAAAAAATGAAATGCTGATTTGTGAGTTCCACTTTGGGGAGCAAAGATAGCAGAGTAAGAGGTAAGTAGCTCTTACCTTCCCATATTAACTTCTGAAAACCCAGAACATATCGCCCAAAGAAAAAACAGCAGAGGGAAAGAAGGGAGGGAGATGATCACTGTTTGAATCTTGCTGTCATCAGATACGGATCAAGAAGGAAATAACATAATCAGTTAGGTATAGAAATCTAACTAGCCCTATAGGCAGTAGGAGGGAAAAGAGAAAAGAAAAGGGAGGGAACATAGAAGGGAGGGAAGAAGTAGTAAGGGCAAAAGGGAAGAAAAGGGAAGAGCTTAGTAGAAGGCAGGTGGGACTAAAGGAGGTGGTGGTCAAAAGCAAAATACTAGGTAGGAAGGAAAAGGAGAAAAGAGAAAGAAAAGCATAAACAGGGTGGGAAAAGGATGGAGAGAAAAACACAGATAGTAATCATAACTGTGAATGTGAATGGAAGGAACTCTCCCATAAAGCAGAAGAGGATAGCAGAATGGATTAAAAACCATAATCCTACAATATCTTGTTTACAGGAAACACATTTGAAAAAGAGTGACACATACAGGGTAAAGGTAAAAGGCTGGAGCAGAATATATTATATTTCTGCTGAAGTAAAGAAAAAAAAAAGCAGGGGTAGAAATCCTGGGCTCAGCCAAAGCAAAAGCAAAAATAGATTTTATCAAAAGATAAGGAAGGAAACTACATCCTGCTAAAAGGCACCATAGACAATGAAGTAATATCATTACTAAACATATATGCACCAAATGGTATAGCATCCAAATTCTTAGAGAAGTTCAGGGAGTTACAGGAAGAAATAGACAACAAAACTATGCGAGCGGAGGATCTCAACCTCCCCCTCTGAATTAGATAAATCTAACCACAAAAGAAATGAGAAAGAAGTTAAGGAGGTGAATAGAATATTAGAAAAGTTAGGTATGATAGACCTCTGGAGAAAATTGAATGGGGATAGAAAGGAATATACTTTTTTTTCTCAGCAGTACATGGCACGTACACAAAAATTGACCATTCACCAAGGCATAAAAACCTCACAATTCAATGCAGAAAGGCAGAAATATTGAATGCTTCCTTTTCAGATCATGATGCAATAAAAATTGTATGTAATAAAGGGCCATGGAAAGATAGACTAAAAAAAATTGGAAACTAAAAATAATCTAATACTAAAAAATGATTGGGTCAAACATCACATCATAGAAACAATCAATAACTTCATTCAAGAGAATGACAATAATGAGATAACATAACAAAACTTATGGGATGCAGTGCAAGCAACTCTTAGGGGAAGTTTTATATCTCTAAAGGCTTACATGAATAAAAAAATAAAAAGAGATCAATGAATTGGCCATACAACTAAAAAAAGTCTAGAAAAAGAACAATTATATGAATTATATATATATATATATATATATATATACACACACACACATAAATAAATAAAAATAAATCCTCAATTAAGCACCAAATTAGAAATATTGAAAAGCAAAGGAGAAATTATGAAAATTAAAATTAAGAAAACTATTGAACTAATAAATAAAACTAAGAGCTGGTTTTATGAAAAAAAAACAATTAAATAGATAAACCTTTGGTTAATTTAATTAAAAGAAAAGAAAGAAAAACAAATTACCAGTATCAAAAATGAAAAGAGTGAATCCACCACCAAGGAAGAGGAAATTAAAACAATCATTAGGAACTATTTTGCCCAACTGTATGCCAATAAATTTGACAATCTTAGTGAAATGGATACATATTTACAAAAATATAAATTGCCCAGATTAACCAAAGAGGAAGTAAAATACTTAAATAACCCCATCTCAGAAAAAGAAATTGAACAAGCCATTATGAACTCCTAGGAAAAAAATCTGCAGAGCCAGATGGATTTACAAGTGAATTCTATCAAACATTTAAAGAACAATTAATTCCAATACTATATGGACTATTAGGAAAAATAGCTGAAGAAGGAGTCTTACCAAATTCTTTTTATGATACAGATGTGGTGCTGATACCCAAACCAGGAAGATTCAAAACAGAAAAAGAAAATTATAGACCAATTTCTCTAATGAATATAGGTGCAAAAATTTTAAATAAAATATTAGCAAATAGATTACAGAAACTTATCACAAGAATAATACACTATGACTAGGTAGGATTTATACCAGGAATGTAGGGCAATAGCACTTCTAGGGCTGTATCCCAGAGAGATCATACAAATGAGAAAAGGACCTACATGTACAAAAATATTTATAGCAGCTCTTTTCATAGTAGCCAAGAATTGGAAATTGAGAGGATGCCCATCAATTGGGGAATGGTTGAACAAGTTGTGATATATGAATGTAATGGAATACTATCAAGCTATAAGAAATGATGAACAGGCTGACTTCAGAAAAACCTGGAAAGACTTGCATGGTCTGATGCTGAGTGAAATGAACAGAACCATGAGAACGTTGTACACAGTAACAGCCACATTGTGCTATGACTAATATTGATAGAGTTAACCCTTCTCAGCAATACAAGGATCTAAGATATCTCCAAAGGCCTCGTGATGAAAAATGCTATCCATATCCAAAGAAAGAACTATGGTGTTTGAATGCAGATCAAAGCATACTATTTGCTATTTTTTTCTTTTTTGAGTTTTGTTTCCTCTTTTTGTGGTTCCTCCTATTGGTTCTAATTCTTACTTACAACATCACTAAAGTGAAAATATGTTTAATAGGAATATATATGTGTAGCCTATATCAGATTGCATGCTGTCTTGGGCAGGGAGGGAGGGAGGGAGGGGAGAAAAACTTAAAACTCAAAAGTTTATGGAAGTGATTGTTAATAATTCAAAATAAATTAATTAAACAAATAAAAGATAAAATACTGATTTGTACAATAATATTTTCAAGTCCTGCTTCTAAAATGTAATGGCTATGTGACAAAGGTCTAGATAATTTATCTCTCAGGGCTACAGGCAACCTTGTAAGACCTTCCAGTTGATTTGACGATCTGCATCTGTGCTGGGAGTTTCCATACTGGTAATTTCTCATAATAACTGATGCTCTAGATCATGTCCCTCCAAGCCTCCCAAATTAAAAAAAAAAAGCTTCAAAATGTCTTGCAGTGAATTGGTTTCTAAGTGTGACTTTTTTCTCCCAATAGACATTTTTTCAGCTGATTTCCCATTCTGAAATCAACTTTTTGTTCTTATTCCATAGGATATAAGAAACAAAATGAATGATGGGCCATATTGATATTACAAAATGTATTTTATGTGATTAAATATTCAAAAGAACATTTCATTCCAAATAACCAGGATCCTTTGTTCTTGCCATGGTTTGTTACTTTCATCCAGCAAACCTTCCACTTTTTCCTATGCAATTATATACTGTCCTGTAGTGTTTAGTCACAGGGATTAGTGTTAGTCATGGAGATATGATTTTGATTTCTAAAATAAATGTAATAAAAGCATGTGCCTGTTTTATTTTGACTACTGATAAGGCGCAAAAATTACCAGTTACCAATTGTTTGCTATGTGATCTTGAGTAACTAATTTTATTTTGCTGGGGTTTTTAGAATGTGAAGTAAGAAAACCTAGATTGTATCTCTTTAAGACCTAGCATTCTCTGATTCTATTTTAGTGTGTTATGGCAAGTTCGTAAGGATCAGTATTTGCAGGCAACTATATTCCTAATTTTTTGAGATTATATATTGTATCCTGGCTAAGTTTGAATGTTTAATGAGCAGAAGAGAAGTCTTATGGGAAGAGGTATAAATATTTCCCTTGAAGTATTTGAGGAACTTTCAAATGGAAGAGGGATTAAACTTGTTCTGCTTAGTCCTAAAGCTGTTAAAGTAATCTTAAAGTGAGGGTCTGACTATATCATCCCTTCCCCCCAAATAGACAAAGTCCAGTGGTTCCCTATCATTTCCAGAAACAAATGTAATATCTCCGCCATTCAAAGCCTTTTCTAACCAATCTATTCCCCTCTCCACTTCCTCCACATCCCACTTTTCTTACACCTTAGCCACCCTGTGCAGCCTTCTATACAGTGACCCTTGCCTCCTTGCTGTTTGTCACCCAAGATACTCTACTGCCTGACTATTTTCATTGGTTATTCCCCATGCAATGAGTTGTCTACTTCTTCATTCCAATTTCCTTCTGGATTCCTTCAAGTGTCAGCTAAAATTCCACTTTCTACAAGATTCTTTTTCTCATCTCACTTGAGGCTAATGCCTTCCCTTTATTTGGTCTACCTTCATTATACTATCAACTCCTTGAGATTAAGGATTGTCTTTTACCTTTATCTGTATCCCTGGCACTTAGCACAGTGCCTGCTACATAGTAGGCATTTAATATATGTATATTGACTGAGTGATAGACCAAAAGGAGGACTAGCAGAAATCAGTCAAACTTAGAGACAGGCAGATTTTTATTGATATTTGGAAAATAAACAATAAAACAAAACAATACAAACAAAAACTATAGAGATTACCTAGATTGAAAAATGATGTCTACCCTTCCCCATCCCCCATGAATTCTATGGAAATTGACAAAGGCAGAAATCAGTGATAATAATGGCAGAACCAGTACTAAATGAAAACCAGGAATGAAATTATCATGTTGTTTGACATTAGCTTAGAGCAACATAACTGACTATATGGTGGTACATAGAGTTAATGTGTATGGATGAGGGAAGTTGTATTTACTTGGCCACTGGCCTCACTACTTTAACATTAAGAAGGGCCTTATTGAGTGGTCTACCAACTTGTTGATGACTTGTTGGTTTGGATATTGTTGTGAACTTGGCCAGAACTGGTCCTCTATTTGCAATAATGCTCCTGGGGTTCAGGAGTTATCTGTTGGCTTCTTTTACTCTTCACTGTGTGTGCAAAATGCATTTTTAAGTCATCCAGAGCTCTTTCCAGCTAAGTTGATGTTGATTTCTGTCAAAAATTTTTGAATGTATCATTAAAGAAAAGGTTAGTGACTATTCAGAAAAGAAGGCAGCAATTACAAAGATCATATGGCTTACTCAAGAATAAGTCAAAGCAGATTAACCTTATTTTGCTTTTGAGAGGGTAAACTACCAAAGCATTCAGTAAAGTATTTCATCCTATTCTTGCAAAAAACTAGTGATATAGCTTTGCAAATAGTAAAATTAAATAGATTTTGAACTGGTGGAATAACTCAACTTAATGAATTGTTGTTGAGTCGTTTCTGTGATGTCCAACTCTTTATGACCCTGTGGGGTTTTCTTGGCAACAGTACTGGAATGGTTTTCCATTTCCTTCTCCATCTCATTTTACAGATGAGGAACCTGAGGCAAACAGGGTTAAGTGGCTTGCCAAGGGTCACACAGCTAGTAAGTATCTGAGGCTGAATTTAAACTCAGGTCTTCCTGACTCCAGACCTTGAACTCCATTCACTGTACCACTTCACTTCCCCAACTCAAGGCATAGTCATTAATATCCCAATGTCAGTTTGGAACATGTCTGTAGTAGCGTTATCCCAGAGATTAGTGTTTGCCTTTTTCTTATTTAATAGCTTTATGAATGACTTGGAAAAAGGAAGAGATGGATGATGCCCTTATCAAACTTACAGATGATATAAACCTGGAAGGTATAGCTATTATACTTGATGATAGGATTCAAAAATTTAATTAAAAATAAATTCAAATATTTTGACAGAACCAAATAAAATGAAATTTTATTACAATAATTATAGTATCTTGCACTTGAACTTTAGAAAGTAAATTTTACAAGTACATTATGAAGGAGGTATGGTTAGATAGCAATTTGAGAAAGATCTAGGCAAATCCAAATTTCTGATTCTATGATCCCTCAACTATTCATTTAACCGTGGTTCATACTGCACAGGGGGCCTATAGGTGTGAGCACCTACAATTATCGAGCCTGAAAACCTCATTGTGAGTGAGGGAATTACCTAGTCATAGTAAAATTTGTCTAACTTGATGGGCATGTTTTTATTTATGTAATTTTTTTTTGCATTTCTGTCATTATTCATGAGTTGGTGCCATCTTTCATGTGATTATTAATAGTTTACAGTTATTTAAAATCTGTGCCTCCTTGCCTTGCATATTTTTTAATGGTCAATTCCCCACATTGCTTGGCTTTTAGACTTACCAAAAAATATAAAGCAAATATTTTTCAGTCAATAGCTTCTCTTCTTATTTCAGCTGCACTGATTTCTTCATCCAAAAGCTTTCAAATTTTTGTAATTAAAATAATGTTTGTCTCTTGCAATCACTTTTATCTATACACATGTTTATTGGATATCCCACATATGCTCAGCACATCCTAACATGCCAACAATCATCTCCTTGTGGTGGTGCTGATCCAGAGCTATCTGGAGGATGAGGGGTATGGGATAGGGACTTTCTCAGTTTCTGGGGACTTTGTAACTGAAACCTTGACCATTACTTCTACTACTTTTTCTACTTTTCATTTACTTCCCCTCTGTAGCTTCCATGAACCTTTGATGAAAGAATGAGACATACAGCCTACTTTCATGGTATTCCTCGTATATCTCCCTTCTCTTCTCTGACACTGCCAGAGCCCTGATGCAGACCATCATCACTTCAGATCCGTATTATTTGAATAGCTTGTCAGTCACTCTTCTCACCACAAGATTCAGTCCATTCCACTTTTCACTCAGCTCACAAACTGATCTTTCTAAAGGACAGGTCTGACTATATCAACTTTCTACTAAATAAATGCCAGTGATTCCCTATAGGCTCAAATATAAACCCCTCTCTTTAGCATTCAATGCCTTCCATAACCTCTCCCAACATTTCTAGTCTTCTAACACCTTATATCCTCACCTCCCTCCCCCTGCTACCACCACATGTACTTTTTGATCCAGTGATACTGGCTTTCTTAGTGTTTCTCAGATAAGACACACTATCTTCTGATTCCAGGAATTTTCACTTCCTGACCTTCCTGACTGGAATTCTTTCCCTCCTCATCTTTGCTTCTTAGTTTTCCTGACATCCTTCAAATCTCAAATGAAATCCCAACTTCTACAGGAAACCTTTCCCTATCTCCCTTAATTCTACTGACTTCTCTCTGAATATATTATTGTCCTGAATATGTTTTTTTATATACATAATTGTTTGCATGTCATCTCTCCCACTAGACTGTGAACTCCTTGGAATCAGGGAGTGGCTTTTGCCTTTCCTTGTATTTTCAGGACTTAGTGTTATGCCTGATAGACGATAGATGTTTAATAAATATTTATTAACTGACTCACTAACATAACTCTGTTATGACTATCCTCTAGATTTTATCAAAGGAACTGTCTTGACTGTTTCAGTTCTTCTGCTTGGTGGATCATGGTTCCTATTTGGGTCAGGTGGACTATGCTCTTCTCCTTCCCATCACAAGAAGCCTCCCTTGCCCCTGCCAAGGGATTCAAACTGAGTCAAAGAAAAACAAACAATCAAACAAACAACAACTACACATTTCCACTTCTACTCCTCTAGCCATTTTATTTTCTATCTCAGCTCTGGGCCTCTTATTGGAAGGGACATGAAAGGCAAAAACAAAAGTCAAAATTTTATATTTTGAAAAGGATATGCATATATGGTGATCAATCCTTTAATTCTAGCACAGCATTTCCATGACACTGTGAAAGGCTATGGGAGTAGAGTCCAATTGGAAAGACATTTTTGTTTTGGCCCAGAAAATAAGATTAATAAAGTTGTTTTGTATTTTAGAGTAAGGTGAATTGTTTGATTTGAAAAGCTAATATTTTAAAAGTTAAGTTCAGTTGTTATTTTTTAAAAATTGTTTTAGTTTCTTAAGCATATTTGATAGCTAAAATAATATTTTTCTTATTGAATACAGTATTTAATTTGCCAATAAAATACAATAAAATTCCCCGAGTGTACACTTTAGCGAAATTTGCTGTGCTAGCCTAAGCTTTCATCCTTTGTTTGGTTATATATTAATTTCCCCACACCCAGGGTACTTAGAAATACTTCTGTTCACTTCATTAAAAAATGTATGTACTTTGAAAACACTGCTCCTCTTCCCTAATCAATTCCTTATCACATCACCATGGCTATTCCAAACTCTTTCTTATGAAACCTCCCATGTCATTCTCTTCCCTCCACACTCTCTGATAAGAATTTCATACCACATTTCACTGAAAAAAAATTAAGCCCATTCATTAAAAGTTCTCCTTCTCCTTTCATGCTCATCTTTCATCCCTGTGATATCATCCGCCACTATCTCTTCCTTCACTCCTGTCTTTGATTATTAGGTCTCCTGCTTGCCAAAGCACTTTACATATAGTCTTGTCCTCATCTTCTATTTCTCTGGTAGCTTTACTTCTTCCCTGATGTCTACAAATAAGCCCAAATCTACCTCATTAAAAAAATGAACAAACAAACCTCAATAGATCTTACCATTCCCATGAGCCATGAGCCTATAACGCTCTCCTCAGCTAAACTTGAAAAAAAAACCCTATCTATAATTGGTGCTTCACTTCCTATTTTCTCACTTTCTTAGTATCTTCCATTTCTATTTGAGTTTGACATCACTGATCTAGTCCAATGTTTTTGTTTTATAGACAAAGAAACTAAGATCTAAAGAGATTCAATGAACTGATCTAGGTCAGGGGTGGGAACCTGAGGCCTCAAGGCCACAATGGCCTGCTAGGTCCTCAGGTGAGGCCCTTTGACTGAATTGGATTTGTTTTGTGAAGTTTAGATTCAGTGAAGTTTGGCCACAGTTGAGGATTAGAAGGCCACATGTGGCCTTGAAACTGTAGGTTCCTCACTGTGACATCATGGTAAAAGTTAAATTTAAAATGCATTTTTTAAAATAACCATCAAACAAACCTCTGAGCACTACGGTTAAGCATCTCAATAAATGCCAAAGTAAAGAATTACTATAGATACATTCCAGCTTCTGACTTTTATCATTCATCTGAAACTCCTTTTTTGAAAATCACTAAACAGATCAACTACAAAATATAATGGCCTCATCATCCTTGATATCTCTGCAATATTTGGCAATATTGATGACCTTCTTCTCTTGGATACTCTTGGATACTCTCTCCTCATCTTTCTGTGACTTATGCTTTCTCTTAGTTTTCCTTCTTTTATGCTTTTTTACTGAATTTTTATCTATGTCATACCCATTTAACTATGGAAGTTCTTCAAGGATATGTGTAGGGCCCTCTCTTCTCTTTGTGTCCTTATACTTTGTTAAAAAATGTGGTTGGGAATGTTGTTTCTGCATATCACTCGTTAAGGTGACAGTAGTTGCTGGGGTATTGACAGCTGTAGGCTATTGACAGGGAACTGTGGGGAATAGGAGATGCAATTAGGGGCAAAGCCTCAGATGGGGAAATTAGGCGCTCCAGATAGGCTATAAACCCTGCATTACCCAGCCAATGGGGAAACAGGGAGGGAACTGCCATTCAGAACTCAGGATAAAAAGCTTTGCTCTCACTTCTGTAAGGTGTGTCCATATGTGAGACATCTGGCCTTGCTAGGTGATTACTAAAAAGTTTTTTTTTCTGGTTCATCAATAGCTTTATGGAACTTTTGTTGCTTACAACTTGGTGGTTATCATTAACTCCCACAGGTTCAGTTCTCAACTTTGTAGAGGTTATTCTTAGATCTATTTCTTTCCTGAGTACCAGTTCTACATCACCAATTTCTTACTGGACGTTTTGAATTGGATTTCCCAAATGCACCTCAAACAACATGTCCCCAAAGAGAAGTCTTCATCTTTTCCCCACATCATTCTCTCTTCACAGATTTCCTATAACTGTTGAGAGCTCTGTGCTCCTTTCAGTTACCCAAGTCAGTAATGTTTTTCTTAACATATTTGGCATATATTCCCTTCTCCTCAATTTCATCTCCACAGTCCTAATTAAGCTCTCATCACCTCCTACCTGGACTCTTGCTGTAGCCTTCAAATTGCTTGGCCTCAAATTGCTCTCCACTTCAATTCACTCTCTACTCATCTGCCAGTGGTTTTCCTGAAGTATAGATTTCATCCCCTATTCCAATAAACTCTAAAGTCTCTTTGTTACTTCCAGGATCAAATACAAAGTACTTTGTTTGGCATTGGTATTTAAAACTCTTCATTGTCTTACCCCTTTTTATCTTTCCAATCTTCTTATATTCTACTATCCTTCCCCCTTTAGACTGTGAGCTCCTCAAAGGCAGGGATTGTTTTTTTACCTTTTTTTGTATCCTCAGCACTTATCAAGGTGCTTAGCACAGAGTAGGTGCTTAATAAATGTTTATTGACTGGCTAACTTCACAGAATCCAAAATCTGGTAATATGATTTTAATTTCTATTTCTCACACATGATAGTGTCCACTTCCCACATCAATGCTGTTTCATTCCTTGGCTCCCTATACTTAGCTTAGCATGCTCAACCTGCATGCCTCTTACCATTCAAATGCCTGGCATCCTTTACAATTAGCTCAGGTCCTACCTTTTAGGTAGGCCTTTCTTGATTCTCCCAACAGCTGTTGCCATCCCTCCAAATTTACTTTCCATCTTCCTGTCTTCATCTTTTATGCTGTAATGCATGTATGTTTCCTATATTAGAGTGTTATTTGTTGTTTCCTATATTAGAATGTTAGTTGCTTCAGGACAGAATCTATTTCTGCTTCTGCTTTGCATCCTTAGTGGTTAGCATAGTGCCAAACATGCAATAAATGCTTAATAAGTGCTTGTTGAATGATTGAATGATTTCCTTAACCCTCTAAAGCCCCTCCTCTGAACTCAGTACTGCAAGTATGGCTTGATATTGATGGAAGCATTGTTATTGATTTAAATGGCTCTAAAACATTGTCTTACAATTACTTTGTGCGCCATGTGACATTTTTGTTGTACTATAAAAGTTACTCTAATCTGGTAAATAAATGACCCTATAACTTGTAGACAAGCAGAAACTTGAAAACTCTTTTCAACCATCACAACCCTATGAGATTTATGAATCTTGTATTATCTTTGATAGTGTAGTCATAGCTCAAATTTTAAGAGTTCTTAGAAAGACCAAACAGTAGAGCAGCATGATCTTTATTTCCATAATTGAAGAAATGCCTTGAAGAAAGTGTACTGTTAAGGGCACTTTACTATAATTACTACATACCTCTCAGGTAATGGAGAGGAAACTTGGTGACCTCAAGCTTCAGTGCTAATGTGAGCAAGCCTATATATGATCTAGCTGTAATTATTCCAGATGTCAAAACAGGGGACACAGGCATTGATAGATATGGGTCTTTACTTGCAACAGGAAAGAACAGCTATAGAAAATCAATTCTTGCTGTGTGAAAAATGCCTCATTGTCATTTATTCCATTTTACTTTAGGCTGATGATTATATTTCTTTCAGTAAATCTCTGGTTCTTGGGTACAAGCAGGATGAAAAATGCATGCATTCTTTATAGTTTCAGATTTGAGATTATTTACCCAGGCTTTAGTTATTGAATCCTGAGAATATGCATGGTGATGTCTAGTTGAGATGACTGGTTTTGAAAGATTTTGCATTTAGCATAATGAGTAAATTCTTCCTGATGTTGTTTACTAACAGAACACACAAGCATGCACACAGACACACACACACATGCAAACATAAGGATAGGGATTGGATTTGTGAGTCACTTGGTGTAGGTAATTACCAAGTGAAAGATTTCCCTTTGGCAAAATAGATTGGCAGCTTCTCAGCAACTTGTAGTTTTGGAAAGATGCCTAGAGCACTGAGAGCTGGTGACTTACCTATGGACACACAGCCAGAATGTTTCAGAGACCAGACCTGAACCCAGATCTTTCTGGCTTTATGTCCCAATACACTGATGCCACACTGCCTCTAATATCATCACATATACTGCAAAATTTAAGCATCTCATTTTTATTATTTATTTAGGATACTCATATATTCATATTTAGATGTTCTTTTAAATGCTGTTCTTTAAAGTAAACACTCAGAAGAAAAAGAATATTTTTCTGAGCACAAAGATATTAGTCATGACTAGAGAAGGAGGTAACCTAATGGTATGTAGGAACATTACTTATAGAAGGAATAGCTTTGCAGAGTTATGCTTACAGGCCCATGAATATCAGTGTTTACTCTTGGAGAGAGATAAACCACCCAATACCCTTTACCATGAGCACATCTATATCTATACCTTTGCATCTATTTATATTTAATGGTTTTTACACATTTGAGGAGTGGATTAGGAAGAACAGTATATATTGCTGAAAGCCTTGGGTCATAACTTGGGTTTGCTTACATCACAAATGCAGTGAATTCTCAGAAAATTTTGGAGGAAGAACCTTATTTATTGATTCTTTAATATCACATTTTTTATTATTTGAGAAGAAACCCTTTCACTCATGTCATTAACTCAGAAATCCTAGACCACTATCATAGGGAAGAGGGTTTTGAAAAAGGGAAATTTAGTATGTGTGTGGGGGGAGGGGAAGGGTCACAACAATGGGAAAATGGCACAAACCACCCAGAAACATATCCCTTAATAAGACAGTGGAAAACTGGATTTCAAGGTATATTTGAATGGTGGAAATGGAGAGTTGCTGATGAGAAGGCTTCTTTTTCACCTTAAAATTCATTTTTAGAAAATTTTTCTGTATTACTTTGCATTCTATATATTTCTTTCTAGCTGTAAATATAAATCCTTTTATTTTAAACTGATTATTTTATTCTCTTATATTTAAAGGAAAGCTAGAAAATATGTGATAGACTATATCTCAAAGTATTATGCTCTTGATTTTGTCTTTACCTCCATCCCAACCTGGGTGGGATTTCAATTTAATATAGTAATAATAATAATGCTACTATAATGATGGAAAACATCCATACAGTACTTTAAGGTTTATAAAGGACTTCATATATATTATCTCATATGATTCTTACAACAATCCTGGAAGGTAGGTGCTGTTATTATTAACAATTACAAATCAGGGAATTGAAGCTGAGAGAGGTCAGGTGATTTGCCCCAATTCACTTAGCTAGTACATGTCCGAAGCAAGACTTGAACTCAAGTTTCTCTGACTCTGGGTCCAGAAGTTTAGTCACTGAGCCACCCAACTGCTTATTATCCTTTCCAACACCCAAGTTTAGTCACTATCTTTTCTACCCTATGTGCAGATATAAACCAGGGCTCTGTCCTTGATCCTCTCTTCTATCTCTATCCCTTCAATGATCTCATTAGCTCCCATGGGTTCACCTACAAGACTCCAGAATCTACATCTCTCTCTCTCTCTCTCTCTCTCTCTCTCTCTCTCTCTCTCTCTCTCTCTCTCTCCTCTCTCTCTCTCTCTCTCTCTCTTCTCTCTTCTCTCTTCTCTCTTCTCCCTCCACCCCCCCCTCCTCCCCCAATTGTAGTACTACGTCATCAACTCACTATTGGATATCTCCAACAGAACTCATTTTCTGTTTACTTAAACCCGTCCCTCCTCCTAGTTTACATTGTTTTGTCAAGGGCACAACCATCCTCTACTCACCATCCCCCAACTCTGAATCTCTTTCATTCACCACTTCCAATCAGGTAATTAGGCTTATTGATTCTATTTCTATAATATGTCTTGTATCCTTTACCTTTTCTCTTCCCATTTGGCTACTGCCCCAGTTCAGGCCTTCACCACCTCTTTCCTTAACTATGCATTTAGCCTCCTCATTAGTTTTCTTGCCTCCCTGAATTTAGTTTCTTTATTTGCAATGATAGCCTCGACAAAGCCACTAAAATGATACTCCTAAAGTCCATGTCTGAGCATGTCACTCCTTTGCTTAAGAAAAATCATTGACTCCCTCTTGCTTTTAAGATAAATTACAAACTTCTTAATTTATCATTTAAAAGCACCTCACAAACTTGTTCCAATGTTTCTTTCCAGGATTATTGTACTTTCATCACCTTCACACATTCTAAATTCTAGCCAAACTGGCCTGATGGATGTTCTCTGTGCATGACAATCTACCTCCTAGTCTTGTGCCTTTGTGCAGTCTGTCCCTTAATGCCTAATATAATCTCTGAGAAACCCTAGGTCCTTGCAGCGTCTGTTATAGTGCCACCTAGACCTCCAAAAACCCTTTCCTGTTTTCCCCCAATTAGTTGCCCTCTTGTCCCTTCACAAATGCCTTGCATTTATTTTGTATGTACTGTTTATTTATCTATATGAATGTTGTTTTTCCCCCAGTAAAGTATAAACTTTTGAGGGTAGGACATGTTCTCTTTTCCTTTCTCCTTCCTTCCTTCCTTCCTTCCTTCCTTCCTTCCTTCCTTCCTTCCTTCCTTCCTTCCTTCCTTTCTTTCATTACCTGGCACATATCAGTTCCTTAATAAAGGAATGGTCTCACCTTAATAAAGGAGTGGTTTTTCATGTGGATCTGTATTTGTGTTTCCCAGTATTATATTGTGTCAGAAAGGAGCAAGATAATTGGATCAAATCCATCAGCCTTTTGACAAGAGAATTATACATGGTTCAAAGCAGGGAATCAGAATCCTATGACCTCAAAGTGGTTAGGATCCCACTACTTCTGGCATTGATACAACAGAGAGAATTAGGAAAGCTTTAGAAGGAAACTATGACAGTCCTGTCCTTGTGACATATTCCTCACCCTCGAGCTCCCACCTCTGTGCAGCCCTTCGGTGTATAGTATGCTTTCATCCTTCTAGCAGCTTGTCATATCAGCCACTACACGAGGCTATCCCAAAGGAATGCACATTCCACAGGCAAGCACAAATCCAGATTCATAGGGGAAGCCAGGGGGCACCCAGATATCCCAGAGCTAAACTCCTGTGCTAAAAGGGGTCTCATCTTGGTGTTTTGTTCTCCTTTCTGTCAACATAGTCCATTCTAGAGAGTGAAGACCAGGTTAGAAAACATGAAGCCAGGAGCCTAGGTTAATTTTACTTTTATAATAGGGCTCTTACCTCAGACAGGGAGAGAAGCTGATATCCTCATCAGGGTTATTAGCAATAGCTGCTGCCTTCCTGTCCCACAGATCAATTGCTTTGCCTTCCTGATTACGTTAACACAAAAAAAGATGGGCCGTATTTAGATACAAGGAATCATGTTCTTGACAGTTGAGTTGACATTATCAATATTATTTTGTATTCTGTTCAGGAAATCCAAGTTAACTCAGGTGGTCAGACAAAAGAGCACATGGACTGTACCTGTCCCTTTATTCCCTGTGAATCTGACATTAAGTTGGCAGTCACCAGCATTTCTGTTCAGAAAGAAGTGACAATCCGTTTGATGACTCAGTTTGATGTCTTTGTAAACCTAGTTCATTGCCAAACATTTTATAGGTTATTTTCAAAGAATCTGTTTGATTAGAAAGGGAACCTATACTATTCTGGGAATAGTTTCCCAAGGATTAGGAATTAGTTGGGGTCATGAATAGACCAGAGCAATGAATAGGATGTCACATATGGAAAAGAGTACATAGCTTGTGACTGATCCAGGCCTCAGGGGTTGCCTTGAGCTTTACAGAATGAACATCTAAATAAACCTTGGCATATCATCTGTAAACCAAGTATAAGAGCAGATAAAATATAATAGCTAATAATAATAATAATAATAATAATAATAATACTTAATATTTATGTAGTGCTTTAAGGTTTGCAAAGCACTTACACTTAACACTCTCTTATGTGATCCTTATTAACAATCCTGGGAGCTAGGAACTATTATTATCTTCATTTTATGGATGGAGAAACTGAGACAAATAGAAGTCAAATAACTTGCTCAGTGTCACACAGTAAGTGTCTGAGGCCAGATTTGAACTTTGATTCCAAGCATAGCACCCTATCCGAGTGCTTGTAATGCTTTTCCATAACAAGAATAATTCTTTTGAGCCCTATTTTATGGAGAAGGAAACCAAAATATTAAGAGGTTTTAATTTTGTTTTTGTTTAAGAAAATGGGCAATTCCCTTATTAAATGACCAAGATTTTAACAACAAATTTCAAAATCCTTTATTCCTTTTCCTTCTTTCATACCCAAGCAATATATAGAAGAACCAGTTCTAGCTACTGGGGAGGTATCTTTGCCTATAAATCTTGCCAAGCAGTGGCAGTAAAGGGTAGTCTAGTTTTCTGGACATTCAGAAACCTGGCTTGTCTGACGGTTTTGAGAGGTCACTCTAGTCAGTATTTATACATCGCCATATATAATTCAAATAAATATACCAAAGTTTAGCCTAGTTTGTGTGAACAGAAAACACAGGGAGAGAGAATTATATATTACATACTCACTGCACTGGTGTGAGACACCATCGGGAGGTGATGTCTCTCCATCTCCCTCCCCAGCAGGAGACACTATAATTGTACAGTTTTTTAAACCCAATATCAAACCACTCTGTATTTTGCCCCATATCTACATTTCTGGAATGTTCTCTCTCCTCTGCTTTGGCTTCCTTTAAGTCCCAACTAAAATCCCACCTTTTACAGGTGGGCTTTACAGCCCTTTTAAATTCTAGTGCCTTCCTTTTGTCAATTATTTCCTATCTATCTTTTATATATAGCTTGTCTTGTATATAATTGCTTGGATGGTGTCCCTCCCATTAGATTGTAAGATTAGATTGTAGGACTGTCTTTCCCCTCTTTTTGTATTCCCAAGCACTAAGCACAGTACCTGATACATGGTAGGCATTTAATAAATATTGATTGATCAATGATCAGTTTGGATCTGTCTTGAAGGAAGGATATGTGCCAGCCTAGGTTCTCAACTCCTTGTCATCCCACAACACATAGATGTGTTCTAAGGTACCATTTTGTAGGGTTCAATTCACTTACTTCAGAAATCTCCTGGATTTTACTCATTGGCCAGCTTGCTCACAGGCAATGCCATGGAAGCACATAGATTGTAGAATTCAAAGACCTAAATCTGAGTCTCAATTGTGCTACTGACTGGCTGTATGAACTCAGTCACTACAATGCTGAGCCTGACTTTCATCATCTATCAGTAGTAATAATAACAGCTGCATTCAACTACCTTACAGGATTGTTGTGAGGATTAGCTGAGACATACTGAATATAGAAATATATTATAAAAGTAAAGAAGAACTATACAGATACAAGCTAAGGTGATTAATGTATCATTTTACATTTGGTCAATTTTTCCTTTTCACACTGGAAGTGAAACTTTTGGCTGTGAATCTAGTCCACTCCAATTTCTCCCTTCTGAACATATATTGTGCTCACTGTGAATATCACATAATTTAATACCTAATATTTCTCCAGTTGTTGAATGGCTGACAATTTAGTCTTTTTTCTGCCGTAGCATTTAGAGTCAGATCAGGGAGGGAGGCTTCACTCAGTTGTCTAATTATAGCAACAGACTTTTACAATTCCCTGCTTAGGTTGCCAGAGGTAGGTCACTTGGAATCAGAAAGACCTGGCTCTGAATCTTTCCTTAGATACTTTCTCATGATTTGACTCTGGGCAAGGCATTTAACAGCTTTGTGCTTCAGTTTCCTCATTTGTAAAATGGGGGGGGGGGAATGAATGGCATCTAAAGCCCCAACTGTTCTAAATCAAAGATTCTATGTCAGAGTCTTTGAAATCGTGCAATTCTTATTTAATACTTGTTTTCTAAGTGGGCTGATACTTATGAATCCTGGGAATGATAGAAGTAAGCAGAGGTCCCCTGAAGTCTATCCAGGCCTCTTCTTTAGTAAAATGCTACTGGCCTTTGAATGTAGCCCTAGCTTGTCCCATTGGACAATATTCCTGCATGGATTACTCAACCAGCCTCTGATAGCAAGGTCTTATTGTAGGGAATAATCCTTCCAGGAAGTTCCAGTGTTTGTGGTCAGAGAGCATTCAGAAGTAAATGACAAAGCCCAGTGGACTTAGGGGGTTTCGGCATAGAGGCGATTTGTACAGAGTAGCTTTGGACAACAGTGTACTAAGGCTGCACAGCTTTGTTTGGTTGGTATCAGCTGTTGGTTTCTAGTTCTGCTTCTTGCAAAAAGAGTAGTGACTTTTTCAAAGAGACTTTTGCGGGAGAGTTGGAGGGAGAAGAAGTTATGCTCAATAAACACTAATGACTCTGTATTACATCTAAGATCAAATATAAACTCCTCTGTTTGGCTTTTAAAGCACTTCACAACCTAGCCTTCTCCTTCCTTTTCTACCCCTATCCATCCCAGAAGCCCTCTTCCTTCACTCCAAAGTCCAGCCAAACTGACTTTCTTGCTGTTGCTCACATACATTCCAGTCCCTGACTCCATACTTTTGCACTATCTGTTGTCCATACCTAGAATACTAGATATTCCTTACCTTCCCATCCTACAACCCTGCTTCTCTTCAAAACTCTGCTTAAAGGCTACCTTCTATAGCTTAGAAATCTTTTTCTGTTCTCTGAAGATACTAGTATGCTCCTTTAACAAAATTTTCCATGTATTCATTCTGCATATATTAATTTGTCTGCGTGTTGTCTCCCCTTATCTACTGTAAACTCCTTTAGGGTGCATATAGTAGATAAGAGGATCAAATGAGAAAATATTTGTAAATTGCTTAGCACCATGTCTGGTTGCTTAATAAATGTGTGGTTCCTCCTCTCCTTCCCTTAACTTTTTAGGGCAGGGATTGTTTTATTTTTGTCTTTGTGTCTGATACATACTGACAGATTGATTGATTAGCGTCTCTGTGCCCAGTTAGCCACTAACATTCAATTTTTATCCTTTTTAATTACATATATATTTAAATATGTAAATTTAAATATATATTTATACACATACGTAACATGACATATTATACATTTTAAATATACATTTAAAATAATATACAACACACTTATGTGTATATAGATATATAGATATATAGATATACATATGCATGCGTTGGGGCACATAGATCATACGATATTCTATCTGATTAGACCTTGGACATCATCTTGTTCAATCCCCTCATTGCAGGAACAAGGGTCCAAAGGCTATGACTTGTCCAACATCACAGCTAGTTTTTACTAGAGACAAATAACTTGACTAATGTCGTTGCCAATGATCCAGAAAGCCAAACCTTCAGGTTACCCTACAGAACAGAATGATCAATTTTGGATTCTTGGATTGATTCCTTATGGAGACTTCTTCTTATTCAAGCCCCCTGCCTTTCTAAATTCCATGTCCCATTGAGTGACAGGGCCAGTCACATAGTAGATGCTTAAGAAATGTTTATTGAATTGAATTGAATTTTGGTCTCACCGAACAGTTTCTCTGTATTTAAATTACTCTAAGTTCTTAAGTAAATTACTTGACTTCTGAGTTTCCTTTTCTTTGGGGGGGGCAAGGTGGGGTAGGGAGGGTAGTCGGTGGTGGGGAAGGGAGATGAGTATCAAATGCCTCCTTCCTTCCTGCCTCTTAGAAGGACTCTTCATATGTGACTGCCATAGTGATACAGTATGTCCTATGAAGAGAGAACTTACTCTTTTTTTTTCTTTTCTATAAACCTGCTCACTTTGATGTTCTTAGGATATTGAGAGGATCAGAGGATTTGAATTTTAGAGCTGGAAGGGACATCAGAGACTAGCTAGTCCAACTCCCTCATTTTATAGAGAAGTTAGACCCTGAGAATTTAAGTGACTTGCCCCAGGTCTAATAGGTCTTGCCCAACATCACAGCTAGTTTTTTGCCAGAGATGGGCCTTGATAAATTACTTGACTAATTTCATTGCCAATAGTTCAGAAAGCCAAAGCTTTGGGTTACAATACAGAACAGAATGGATGGCTCAGTTCTGACTTCTTGGATTGGTTCCCTGTGAAGGTTTCTTATTCAAGACCCCTGCCTTTTTGACTTCCATGTCCTATGGAGTGACAGTGCCAGGCACACAGCAGATGCTCAATAAACATTTATTGAACTGAATTGAATTCCCAGGTCCAATATATGGCAGAGCCTGGGTTTTGAACCAGGATTCTCTGACTTGAAATCTATGACTCTTTTCCTCTTTCCTCCACTGAGGCTATCTGTGGCCCTGACTTCTGTGTGACCATGATCCTCCTGGCTATCTTTTTGTGTGAG